CAGGATGTTGAGCCCCAATTAACAGTCACACCCTCCCCCATCCCCACTGGAGACCAATGCAAACCTTCCTAAGCACATGCACTGAGGGGAGGAGGAGGTTCGGTGGGGAGAGGGGTCTGCCTGGAGACTGCTGGTACTGCTCCTGCAGAGGCTCGGAGTGGTGATGGAGGGGTTTCATTAGTGCACCTCACAGCGCTGCCAGCTCTTGGGGAACTGGCTCCCATCAGGGTGGGCCTGGCAAGGCCACGGGCTCTGGGAGCTGACTGCTGCCACTCAGCTTCCCACAGCAGCCCCGCTGTCCTCTTCCTCTTCTGAGGTTGGGGCACAGTTTGCTTTTGGACGTCTCTGGAAATGCTCTTGGTCTAGTGCTGTGTGGCACAACAGCTCATTCTTTCCTCAACACTCAGTCCTTTCCGAGTCCCCTGTCCAAAAGGGAGTTCTCCAATCCAGAATTCAAGGGGAGGAGAGCTGTGTGTCCCAAAATCTCCATCTACGTACATCTTCCTGTGATGCCTGCTCCCGTGGGGCAGCACTTGCTGAAACCCCAGGAGGGAGGTTCCACTGCAAGTGGGCTCAGAAAGCAGCAAGCAGGGACCGACTAAAAGACAGGTGAAGGTGAGGGCCAGGACCCTGGTACAAAGATGTGAAAGAATTGATGTACCTCTGGAGATCCAGGGCACAGTGTCCCCTGCAGGCAAGGTGGGGCACAAAGATGAGGACATCACCATTCTTTCAGGCAACCGAGGCTAAATGCTTCCTTATGTCACCTCCGAAGTCTTAAGTCTTCCCACCAATACCCAGCACTACTGGCTTTGTCTGAAAAAAATGCTAACCAGCTCTCAGAAAGCCATCGCCAAGGCCTGACCTGAGCACTCTCCAAGACGCTGTGCAGCACCAAAGGAACACAGTGCTCCTGGTAGAAGGCCGAGTGGGCAGCCGTGGGAGCGCTCCAGGGCAGCCAAGGATCGCTGGGCCCTTCTCCAGATGCCCAGCTCCCTGTCCGCCTCCAGGCCTTTCTCCACTCAGACTGCCCCAAATAGTTTAGTCACCCACAGAGACCTGTGTCAGGAGGCAACAGTGCCTGCAAGGGGACTTCTGAGAAGCGTGACCCCAGGGAAGCGGGCATCCCTTTCTCCTGGGAGAAGCAGCAAAGGGAGAGAGCAAGAGGCTTCCTGCAGACAGAATATTCCAGCTCTTCCTCCTGCACCTGGCCTTGTTCTTTCCTTTGAATCAAGAGGCTCGCATGACTCTGGGCTCTTAAGAATTATGTAGGGCTGGGAAGATAGCTTGGCGGCATAAGCACCTGCCTGGCAAACACAAGGTCCTGAGTTGGATCCCCAGTACTGTATGCTGTTCCATCCTTGGATCTGGGTATGGTGGCACATGCCTGTAATCCCAGCACTGGGGAGGCTGAGACAGGAGGATCACTATGAGTCTGGATTGCATAGTGAGACCCTGTATCAAATCAGCAGCAGCAGCAGCGGCATGCAGTCATAGACTCCCTTGTTTTGTTCTCACAGACTCTGACTGCAGAAACAGCAGGGCTTTGGCCAGGCCAGGCAGCTTAGCCCTGCTGTATCCTGGGCAGTGACCCAGGGGTACAACCTGCTTCAGTGCTGTTGGTTCACCAAAGAGCCTTTCCTGCACTGGTTTCCATCCTGTCTGAATCAGCTCTTGCTGTTCTCTCTCTTATCACAGAAAGGAGTGATCTGTTTATTTATGTGATATTTTAATGCCTCCTGCACCATTCTGTTGTAACTTTACCTGGGAAGGTGGTTTTTTCCCTGCCTCCCTTTCATGCTGGTGGTGTGTGTGTGTGTGTGTGTGTGTGTGTGTGCTGTCCAGTCCCGCCCCCAACCCCATACCTGTCAAGACACAGCAGACACAGAATCTCTATTCTCAGACAGCCTATGGGAAAAGTACCCACTTTGCATAAGAAGAAATGATGGTTTCAACCATTTAAATAACAAATGGAAAAGCAAGATTCACATGTGTACTCTACTGCATTTCTAACAAAAGATCAAGACAGAGACGAGAATTCCTTGTGCTGAGGTCCCAGACTTAGGCTTTTCTAAATATGTGCTAGAAAACAAATGCCCCAGGTCCACTCCCTGAGAGAGGAGAGGGACATGGGTCTCTTTAGGAATGAAGGCAGTCAGAGCAGCATCCCCAGGCAGGTGTCCAGCCTGGCCATCCTGGGCACAAGCGCAGGCTCGGAGGCAGCACCAGCCAGAGCAGGCTAGCTCTGCAGTCTAGGCAAGGAGGATGAGGATGAGGACCCCAGGCAGGGAATTCCCAGTCAGTGACCAGGGAGGCAGAGGAAGGACAGGGTTGTCTTCTAATGGAATAGTAAAAGGGACTAGTCACCAGGATGCAGTTAGCCGAAAGCTAAGGGTCCAGGGAGAAAACCTATGGCATGCATACCATTTATTTTTCTTTTAAGATGAAAGATGTTAACATAGGTTTTTTGTTTATGTTTTTTTCTAAAATGCTAAAACCTCAGCATTCAGGTTTAACTTTCAATATCAGCCCTTTGTGATAAGTAAGTGGGTTAGGGGTAGTTGCAGTTTAGGTCTTCATCTCTGAATGTTTCGCCATCTCTGGTCTAGGGAATGCCCTTTCCACATGAAAAGGGCCGTGGCTTTGAGACTGAACCACAGGACACTCAGTCTCAGCTCTAGCAGTTTTAGCAAGTGACTTCCACTCTCCTGCTTTAGTTTGTTCATCTAAAGCAATGGCAGCAGGCCCAGGGCACCCCGGCTGTAATTGTGTGTTACAATTATAAGGTTCACCATAACTGATCTAAAACAGGAGGTGGTGCCAAGCCCTCTGCATCTGAGGAGCATACAGGAGATTTGCCAGCCCAGCACCCAAGACAGCGAGCATCCACATACATTGCATTAAGTGGCTCCTTTGAGGCCACAGCTGAAGGCCCTCTTGGTCCTCAGGAGAGTCTATGGGTGATTAAACTGAGCTCCAAAGGCAGGTAAAGGGTTAGGAGGAAACCAGAGCAGAAGGAGAGTAAAATTCAGAGCCTGGAGCAGCTCCATTCAGCATCTGGACCCACGCAGCATGGTTCCTGAGCTCACAGCCATGCACCTGGTTGGTACTCAGGGATGCAGCTGCATGAATGGCTCAAACAGAGCACTTGTGCATGTTGCCTTGTTCCTACCCTTCACCTGCTATTCTTCACCCAGTTTGTTGTTGATTCGTTCAGCCCCAGCAGCATCACAGAGCAAAGCATGGCTTCCATTTATTGTGCTAATTCATATATTTTTCTTAATTCGCCATTTGTTCCTACATTCAATGGCCAACACCTACCTCCCCAGCTAGCTGTTGGGATTGAGTTGCTTAGTAAAAAGCACTTAGAAAAGCATAGCAGGCACTGCCTCAGCATTAGCTGTTGTGATCAGTACAAGCCTACCCATAGCAGACACTGGGAGCGCTGGCTAGCAAGCCACACATGCGCCTTGTTTCCCAGAACTCGCCATGTAGCACAAAGGAGCAGAAACTGCCAGGCACAAGGTGGCAGAGGTCCAGCTGAGGAAGTTCAGGACACCCTAACCTTAGAGCAGAATGAGATTTGCCTGGCCAGACCTGGGTACCGAGGGTAGGGGAAGGGGAAATACACGCAGCAGAAAGGATAAAAAGTGATCATGTGTGACTGTTGCAGGTGCAAAGAACCAGAAGAATGTCCTTTTGGTCAGACAGATGGAGAAAGGTGATGGAAAAGGGCAGAGAGGCCAGCAGGCCCTTAGTCAGCTGAACAGTGGCAAAGAGAAGCCAGGCTCCCAAAGGAGCAGAGGAAACTCAGGCCCAGGGGCTCAGCTTCCTGGCGTGGCTTGTCCTCTATACCTCAACATGGCCCAAATGACGGAGAGACCAGAATTTGCCCCAACAAACTTCTCACACAGTACACTGAGCTTCCCCAGGAAGTCCTACAGCCCCACAGAGAAAGCTCCCTGGAAATCTGCAGAATCAGGAGGAGGGAAAAGTGTGCTCCACCTGTGGACAGGGATGGGGGTCCAGCCACAGCCTCTGCTGCCACAGCTGCAGAGTAGGGGTGACCCGGACACAAACACCTGAGAAGGAAGAAGTGACAATAGGAGCGCTTCAGAGTGAAGGCTGCCTACTCACCAAGACCAGGGAAAGGAAATGCTGTTCCTAGTCGCCTTAGGTTTTTTCCCTAAACTCCAATGTGTACAGGAGGAAGGACATTTTAAGATTAAAGTATCATAGAAGCATTTTCCCAGCAACACAAAATAAAATTGCTTTTGTGTTTGCACTGCACCCCTCCTTTCTCAGCCACCTCCTGCTGAACTCCACAGAAGTGGCTTCTTTTATCAGTCTTTCATCTTCATCCCAGCTGGTGACTTCCCCGGAGCCCAGCTTTCATCTGCAGGAGGAAGTCTGTGGATGCGAAGCTGTCTTCCCAACCCAAACTCTGAAAGCACCACTGCTTTGGGAAAATGAGAGGGACAGAGCGACCCTTGCACAACACAGACCTCAGGCAAAGTGGACACCAATTACAGAAGTGAGGTGCTCAGCTTGGCTTCTATTGTCTGTAACCAACGTCGAGAGGGAGGGCACAAGGACTTGTACCACTCAGCAGAGGTTTTGAAGGCAAATCATACTTAGTGGCATTTCAAGCTAAAGTAATTAGATGTTTAATAAGCACCCTAAACCTTCTCAGGAGGTTTCGAGTTGTGAGCCAGGGTAAGGGGTGACATGGAGGCCAAAAATATAGCTAGACCTCAGGAAAAAGGTCACGGGCAGCAATCACCACATTCTAGTGTTCTTACATCTTTCCCAAGCTGCTGTGGGAAACAGCTCATGGCCACGCTCCTTGCCCACCCGTGTCTCCCTCGCCTGTGTTCCTTTTGCTTCCCAGCCCTTGCTTCTACCTCCATGCCTGATGACCCGTCTGTATTAAAGAATATATTCTAAGAAATTGGCCCCTCAACCCTCCCCGCCTGTTTTTTTTTTTTTTTTTTAAATACCTGTATCCTTGACTCTGGTGATTGGGGACTTCTTCCCAATCCGTTGATTAGCAAAGCTGATCAAGATTCTGGAGAAGACAGTTCCAGGCTGCGGGTGAATAAGGAGCTCTTCTGTGTGCTTGTCTGTAGGCCCGCGGCCAGAGGACTTTGGGTGTTCTGCAGTAACCTCAGAGACAGCCCACCCACCACAGCAAAGACTCTCCGCATGTTTTTGAAACACCACGGGAGGAGGAAGGCTCTTTCATCAAATAATAACCAGCTGGAGATAAGGCCTGCTAGGCTGAGGCTGGTCAGCCAATCACAAGCGTCTTTCCACTGGTGAGGAGGGCCGGCAGGGCTTCTGGAGTGAGTTCCAGGGCTTGTTACAATTTAATGATGCAGTAGGTGGTGCCTTCCTGGCACTGGCTGCGGGGATTTTCTAACTGGGAGTGCAGCTTGGGCCGAGTAACCTCATTCTCAGAGAGGCGTCTGCCTCAGGGCTGCAGCTGCGCACCCAGAGTGGTCACACAGCCTGGCTTCCTCTAAATTGGTCAGGAGAGCTCTCGCGCCGCAGGGAAGCAAGGCTTCAGTGTAGCTGACTGGAGCTGGGGTCACCAGGAAGTGAGCAGGTTCGCCACCCGGAGGGGCAGCTCGGAGTGTGATTCTGAAGAGACTGGAAACCCCAGTGACTTGCTCACGCGTGTGTGGTGGAAATGCTTCCCATGCTGTCTTCTTTGTAGTGCTTACTGAAGGAACTCGGGGCTTCTCTCTCCCTTTGTCCTTCCTAGCCACTCTTCCTTTCTGAAGTTGTCAGTCCTCTTTTAGACTAGAAGTATTGTCAGCAAATACCCATCTACTCTGTGTCTCTATGGATTTATCTATTCTGGACATTTAATGTTAATAGAATCACAAATATGTGACCTTTGTGACCAGTTTCTTTCACTTAGCATAATGTTTTCAAGGTTCATTCCTTTCTTTTTTATTGCTGAATAATATTCCATTGTATGAGGGCACCACAGTTGCGTCATCCACTTGCCCACTGACAAATATTGAAGTCGGCCTTTTTTGCTGCTATGAAGAATGACAGCATGGACATTCATGTAGAAATCCCTCTTCCCTTTGATACACAAATCCAGGGAACAAGACGAAACAAAACAGGTGAGAAAATTCACCAGCATGGGGCTTCACTCCAGCCAGGATTCCAAGTATCAAAGTACAATAATAGCTGAGCCTGACACTGGCACTAATTTTCACAACATATAAAGTAGCCAACCATTTAATCCTTCTAACACTGTGCAAAATGAGGATATCCCTTTTATTGCCATTTCAAAGAGAAGGTCATAGAAAATCAGGAACTTTGAATAATTTGCCAAAAGCTGCCTGGCCTAAACTGACGCCAGAAGAAAACCTTATGAGGGAGAGAGGGAGGGAGGGAGGGAGGGAAGAAGTCAAGGAGGGAGGGAAGGAGTCAGGGAGGAAGGGGAAATTAGGTCAACAAATAACTGTTATTGTTGGCTTTCTAAATTTTTTTACACAAGATTTCACAGTACAGAGGGGGATGTAAGGCTGAGAAAGATGAAATATTGATTTCATCATGGGGCATAGAACTGGAAGCCAGCCCCAGACAACCCAAAGGCAGATGGGCACTGAGTCCCAGACACAGGCTAGATCAGCTTGCTTCTTTCCTAGCACTGCCTAGGACTGTGCCTCTGCAGATGTCTTGGTTGTTCAAGGGCGAGGAGGGAAGGCTTTGGATGGGGACCCTGCTGCTTAGGATGAGCCCGAGTAAGGATCACCCCATACACAGGAAGGGATGCAGAAAGAGGTCAGGGAATATGAAAGTCTGGAGGTGTAGGGAAAGCAGGATTTTAAGAGCCAGTGGAAAATGTGGAATGTTCCACCGACAGGTTGGCCAGATTCCCCATGTGATTCATCCGCAGGAATGTTTCATCCCAACCCTAGAGGTCAACACTCTGAGCAGATGTTCTGGGGGTGGGGGGAGAGCATGAAAGAAATCGAGCAGAGCCAGCAAGTGCTGCTAGGCTCTCATCACCTGTCTGGTCCCAAAGTCCACAGCCTTGGTAAAAGCCCCACTAGAGAGAGACCTCCACAGAAGCAGGAGAAAGAAAGGGGAGAGGGGACAAGGTGACTACACATGGCAAGGAAATGCCACAGGTCACCTCTGAGTTGGAGATTCCAGTGAAAAGTACTTTCCTTTGGGTAGCAGGGGTGACAGAATGGACATCAAGGGAACCTGTGTACCAGAGGTTGGGGAACACCAGGCATCTCAAGGCCCAGAGTGCCAGATCCTGTCTACTTCATCTGATTACATGTCCACTCCTTTGGGCCCCTGATGCAGAATTCACTGCACATCTACCAAATTGCTACAAGAAAGTCAGTCAGAAAAGCTGTCAAAGGGTAGGACAAGGTACTTCCAGGCCCTGCAGAGGTCAGGCATATCTCTGGTCCACTTTTGGAGCATCAAAAGATGCCTTTAAATCTGTTCCATTTAAAGCCAGGGTGCATCAAGACGTTAGACTCAGCATAGGAAACAATAGCTCTTCATCGCTTCTTTGCCTTAGGTCCTGAATGCGTGTCCCTTGATCACATTTTTGGTCACAAAAAACTATAAGGTAAGAATATCTATGACAGAGAAGGAAAGAATAAAGATCAGAGGCCCGTGAGCTTGCTTGACTTCACATTAACTTAACATGTGGAAGAGCTGAAGTCCATCTGCCCTGAACTTCATGACCTTTCCATTTCTGTTACGCTGCCACACACAAGAGAGCTCTTAAATGTATGCTCTTCCTAGCTCACAAGTTGCTACTCATTCCTATTCCCCTTTAGTGACTTTTCTAGCACCTGCCAACATCATTTGTGTGTGTTAATATATAACATACCTGTCTCTAAAGGTGAGTCTGTGTGTGTGTGTATGTGTGTGTGTGTATGTGTGTTGGCTTTTAGCAATGTCTATTCTGTGCCTTCAGATAAGGATATGGGTTTAGCTTTCATTCTTTAAGGTGATGTGGAAGTCCAGCCTGTCATTGGTTTCTCATTGTATGTCAACACAGGGACAGAGAATAACTCCTGTGACCAGACATTACTCTATTATAACCATTTCTGCTTGCCTTCAGGTGGGTCATTTGTCCCAGAGAAGAATTTTCATGCAAATTTTCACCAGTGGAGTCCCCAACAATGATAACCATCAGTACTCATGTCGTGGCCAAAATATCCACTTTGACTTAGGCCAGATCTGCACTGTTAAAAACAGATCAAATATTCACACACACACACACACACACACACACACACACACTTGTCAACTGAATATGGACACCACTCAATTTGTCACAAGCTCTAAAGCATTTTAGCACAGGCAGTCAATATAAATAATAAAAGTGGGTTAGAGAGGGACTGGAGCCAAGCAGGGCCTCTACCACGGTCAGCTCAATACCGCAGTGAGAAAAGGCAGCCCTAGTGTGGTGAGATCGGCTTCACTTCACGGGAGGCTGGGAATAAGGATTAGTTGTGAAATCATCATTTCACTTAAATTTGGCAACTATTCAAAGAAATTAAATACTTTTCAAGTAAATACCCCACACAGATTTGCAAGATAGATTCAGCCTGTGGGATACAGTTTATGTCCTCTAATTGGAACAAAATACACATTTGCAGACAGATGTTTGCTAACTTGTGCAGTACAGAAGGTTCTCAGTGCCCCCCAGAGCCGGCTCTCCAGGTGGCCGAGGGGCTCGTCCCTTTCTCTCTCCTACTCTAGAGTCACCAGAGCGTAGTCATGAGCTCTTCTTGCATCAGAAGTCTCCAAGTGCTTAATAAACACAAGCTCCCAGGAAGCCTCTACAGAAGCCCTGGGGACAGAAACCTGCATTTCAACAGGAGCCTCCGCTGACCCCAAGAAATTCACAGGGACACAAAAATTTGCGAATCATTTTGACTCTAAGACCTGAAGAGCCTAGAGTGTTAAAACATTAGAGTGTGTCCTCAGATCATTGTAGACCCCAGAACAGTGATTCTCAGCATGGGGTCCAGGCCCTAACTACATTGGAATTCCTTTGCTAACCTGTTGAAATGCAGATTTCCCGGCCCTTCAGATTCACAATTTCTTAGATGTGTTACATCCGTAAGAGGGAATACATCTATGGCTAGGTAGTAGGGTAAGCACCGCACATAAAATGTAGCTAAGAACTCTAATGAATATATACCATCATGATCATTTATAGTTATAAAAATGAGACTCAGCAAGGGGAGATGTATGAATGTGATACACAGACTACCTTAAAAGAAATAGTATCTTATTCTTCAAAAACACAATATTCACCAGTGAAACCATATGTCTGAGGATTTGCTTCAAAATAAGAGAGACACAGGTAAAGGTAAGGATGAAACAGAATTTGGCATGAGTCAGTTATTGAAGATGAGAGATGGGGGCTGGGGAGACAGCTCAGTAGAATAAGCGCCTGCCTGGCAAGCACAAAGTCCTGAATTCAATCTCAGGTACCACGAGAGAGAGAGAGAGAGAGAGAGAGAGAGAGAGAGAGAGAGAGAGAGAGAGAGAGAGAGATTGAGAGTCCATTATAAGACTCATTATTCCACATTTTTAGTATTTTTTCTACATATTTCTCTGTTTTTCCACGATGCACAGGAATAAAAGGCTTCCTTCATGTATTACAGAGCATAACAAATCTATAGTTGCTTAATGAATGCTTTATCCACTGTTTGCGCCTCACCTGGGTATTAGCAAGATTCCAGTCATTAAGAGTTCTATAAAACCACACTCAAACCTCTAAGGTTGTGTTTTTCTAAAATGAGTCATTGGTGTCCAGAAGCCAGGAATTCACTAATGTAATCACTACTCTTGGCATGGAGACTTATACTTGGTAGGTACACAGTGAATTGCAAATGAGTGGAGGCAACTGTGGGCACGGGGAGCGCTGGAGTGGCGCAGAACGCCCTGCGCACACGCCTATCTGACTGCCAAATCGGAACATCCTCCGCTTCTCTCTTGGAGCCCCTCGAGCCCCCAGCACACACTGTTCCCAGCCATCTCAGACTACACTCTCACCCTCCCCTTTTTATTGCTGGCGCCATTAGTGAGCACCTATTTGCTTATTCAAGTGTGCGTATGCAGTCTTCCCAAGTGGGGCCATGAAGTCCTTGGAGACCGGAACAATCCCTAGGATCTCTGTAGTCTCCAGTCCTACCCAGGTAAGGTCGGTGCTCAGTGCTCAGTGCCCGTTCAAGAGCAAGTGCTATACAGCCTCTCTGGCCAATTGCCTCTCAACACTGCCACTT